AGGCCATCAAATTGTTTCGAAAATATATTGAATTTGGCATCAAAAGGTTCGCCGTAAAAGTCTGCATCAGAAAATTAACTTCTTATGAGAATCTGTTCGTGGACCGATTCCTGTTCTTATGTGCCCCCGTCCTTTATCAAATCTAGTTACATTTAAAATATAACAAGAAATCATAAATGTAGTTTGTTGATTTGACTTATGAGCCATTCGACGTAAGCCAGGAACGATTTCTATAGGAGCTGCTCAATCGATATTCTCAGATTTCGCTCATTTTAATATATATGATAGAGGCAAGTGCTTGATGAGTTTTGACGAAAGCCGATTCAAAAAATATTGAACGGTTGGTTTTCTATCGAAGTTTTACTAAGAGCACTATCAAATCTCACTTTAACAAAAGGCAATTTTTGACCCTCTGTATCTCAAGAAGTACTTAGCCGATCCAGCTGAAATTTTCTGCGAATACATATACTTATAAGTTGTGCAAAGAAAAACATTTTCAGCTCAATCGACTCAGCCCTTGGTATTCTATCGATCTCCGTATTGAAAGAAAAAATCACAATTTCGCCCAATTTCGGTACTTCATATCTTCACAATAGAAAGTGATAGAAGGCTGAAATTTTTCTTGCGAGCATATATTGATGAGTTGTCATTGCCCAAAAAATTTCAGCTCTCTAGCGCAAACTGTTCGTCAAGAGTGCCTTGAACAAAAAACGGGTTTTTCGTCAAAAACCTAATTTTGAGCCTCACTTTTCCAGACTGCTTAAGCCTACAACTTAATCTTTTTTGTCTAGTCTGAAAGACTCAACTTTGCTCTATAGCATGACGCAAAAAGAAACTTGGGACAGATAGAAACACCTCTGGAATCAACACAACATTTTTGAAAAAAATGCAATTAGTGATTTCTTTTCTGGTTAGCTCGTGTTTTCCAGATTTCTAGACAACGGTTCATTAGAAAAGGTTCAAACTTTCATAGCAAATATATCTCGTAAAGTGGAGTAAAATTTACTCTAGACTCAACTTTGCATAACGCTTCCGTCTCCCTGATGTGTGGATTCCAATATGTCTAAAAAATTATCTTTCTTTTTCTGCATTCTTGTTTCACTATGAGGTCATATCCAATTTAGCTGTAACCTATTTTTTTGCAGTTGTTATACTATATTTTTTATTTTTAGTCACAACTACAATGGGATACGCATTTGCCTATATTCTTCCAGCTGTATAGAATCAAGACGAAAAGAGAAAGTGAAGAACTTGTTGGCAAAAGTACTGCGCGTTTCGATATTGATACAATAGTGAACTGAGAAATAATCTTTATCGATTCGATTTTAGGGTGTGGATGTGGGTGTGGGTGTGAGTGGTAGTCTTCTGTTTACCAACACCCACACCCACACCCCCATCCCCACCCCACACCAACACCGAGACCCAGCCCCACACCCAGACCCAGATCCACACCCAGACCCAGACCCAGACCCACACCCACACCACCACTCACACCACCACCCACCCACACCCACACTCCCGCCCAGACCCAGACCAACACCCAGACCCACACCCACACCCACACCCACACCCACAGCCACACCCACACACTCACCCTTTGTCTAAATACCATAAAGGTCATTGATTCATTAGACGAATAATTGCATCATAGAGGGTGTAGATAATGGAGCTCCTAACTGTATAATATCGCATCAAAAATCCACCCATGGCAGAGTAGAAATATTGTCTCCACTCCATCCATTAATTTTTTCTGAGAGATTTGCCCATATATCTTCATCTTTAGTATGTATAGCAAACATGCCCTTATCAGGATAATATGTTGTGGTTGAGTCCCAATTATATAGTTTAGCCTCGTCAAAATGATGGTTGTTAAAGCCGAGAGGTGCTGGTATACAATAGAAATATTGTGAAAACCTTCTCCCATAAGGTAGTTTGTACTTCACAGATAGAAGTTGTTCAATGAAACAGCGCAATGTATGACCATGGCCACACTCATTGTTATAGTCAGGATCTCGATCTAAGTACACTATAAGGCTTGGATACATGGCTCCATTATCAGTCCATTCCCAATCAGCCAATTGACTTTGCTTCTGCCAAAACTGAAGAAAACGGCCCACACGTGGGACACCTCTTAAGCGCAAAAATAATGCACCGTTATTGATTGGCTGATCATGGTCTGTCAAGATTATATCTGGTAGTGAGGTAGGAATAAACGAATCAAGAGATACTGTCCCGTTCATGATACATGTATCCCAATCCATCCAGAAAAGATAGTCGAACGCATCAGTTTGCGAATACTTCCTATAATAACTTATGATAACTTCAATTTTACGGTATTCAGCTCGACGAGATTTACGTTGAACGAAGTTTAATTCAAAGGTATAATTGAAACGTTTGCTGTATGCTGTACGAATAGCTGTGAAACGACTGAAATCATGGCCAATAGTTTTATTAGTTGACATAGACACAATAAGGAACCGAAGTGGCTTGTAAACTTGCTTTGAGTTTTCCGAATTCATCATCTGTTGCTTAGGCATATGCAGTTGCGAACACGGTTGAAACACACGTTGATCATTATGTTGCAACATGTCGACAAAAATCCACACTTCGTTGGATAAATCAGGAAGGAAATCTTGCAACCTGTAGGAGACTTTTCGGAATCCTCCGTACCACCTATGATCATGCTGATCGTTTTTTTTTGGCAACAGTCTTTCATGAACTGATAGTAAATACCACATACCGGGATCTTTGGGTGAGATTGTCCAATGTCGAAGTGAGGCATTTGATGCTTCAAAGGTGGAGAAATTGGAAAACTGTAGTGCAACTGAAAAATTCAGCTTAGGGAGCTTAGTTTTCGTCCAATAAGCATCGAGCTCAGTCCAGGTGAATTGTTTAATGAGTGTAAATGGTTGCAAATAATCAACACTGAGTACAACAGGTGAGTCTGGGCGAAGACGAACATCAACCACACTGGACGGACACCAATAATGTTTCTCGCGTACTGTAAACATAGCTCGATATTTGGATTTTGCACACAAATTTACGTTGAACAAGTTGAGATTACGACAGAAAAACTCTGATTCCAAGAAAAATATGTAAAAAACGGATAAAAATGATAATAAAAGCAGACACTTAATCTTAGCTGGAATATTTCTTTTCTTATTTCGCGCCAAAACACCCATCGTTGAATCTTTGTAGTAGTGTTTGAGCGACTTGAGAGGAATAAAATATGATTTTGTCAATAACAAATCAAGTGGACGTTTTCTTAAGCACCACAGTGAATTAAATTGAATCACTGGTTCTTAACGGATATCACAGGCTGTTCCAAAGCACATATGATGTCATGATGAACGATATAGCCAAGTCTAGTTAGGCGAAGTTACCTTCAATATCAAGCAGGTGTCCAACTACACTCTAAAACAAATATGTAAATTACTCCAACTTGAAAATTTCGTATTTTGCAACGGAACCTGCGAGACACCCGACAACTGAAACTCTATGGATGGATTTTTCCTCTTAACCTATTTTAAATTTAAACCTTATCACGACCAACTTAAAATAAATTTAAATTGTGACAGAATGTGAGTAGTGTTTGTGTATATATCAGTGGCACTTCATAGTGATTATCTGTGTGTACCTAGCCTCCTCCTACTCGAAAGATTCCTGGAAAATGAAGTTTACGACTTTCGAAAACTTTGAATTAGCACAATAAAAAGTAGTTGTTCCATTATAATGTTTTTTAGCGAAAATAACACAACAATTTTTTTTTCATATAGTTAATACAGTTATTAACTATGTATTGTTTAAATCTGCCATGGACTAATTATTCTTCAAGAGTCTCAAGCAGGTTGTCATCAATAAATTGTTTTCAACGTATGAATTCTTGCAGACAAAAAATAATGAGATTGCGATTTAGTAGCTCATTTTAGAGTTTTCATTCGATAGTCATCTTGCCATGCTTATTACTTAAATGTAAAATCTTAAGACTTTTAAATAAAAGTTCATTGTTTAGTTAGAGTAGAGCACACATACACGTATATGTCAAACATCTTTTGAAAAAATAGGTGCTTTAGTAGCTTATTACTTGGAAAAGCTCTCTTGATAGCAAATTATAAAAAAAGTTAGTAAGCAAGCGACGCATACAACCAAGAAGAGCTAGAGTTTTGCATATAAGAGGACAAATTAATACATACTTTATAATCTAAAATTTCTAGAAAGTCATAAACTTCTAATGAGGATTAATTCTATAGTTGAATTTTTTTTGGATAATACCGATCGCTCATGTACAGATGAGGATGAAAAAAGTGCGCAAACTCGATTCAACAAATATTAAAGTAAATTCACCGAATTCAAACGTTCAGATTTGATGCAAGTCTAGTTGTGACATGTAAATGAGCTCAATGATGCTATGAAATTTGCCACAGAAAAACAAAATGACGGAAGAACTTCTGATCAGTTTATAGTGTCTCGCCAGTTTTAGATAAAGGGTATCGCAGAAGTTCTGAAACCATTTAAAAATCGATCATTCTCGCGTTCAACAAAAGTAAACTCTGTCAAACTTTGACAGATTGTTGGGTATAGTCAATACTAATTAATTGCAAAGTTTGAGCTCGATAGTTTTTACAATAAATAAGAAACTGGAACAACACAATCGTGTACTATTCCAGAAAATTTCCTAGAGGTAAAATTTGGCATAAAGAATACAAAAAAGTTGTGAATTCAAGGCTTCTTTAAGTAATATATGTCTAAACAGAAAAATTTTCTTTGAACAACCTTTTCTTTCTTGCTGCGCGCATTGATCAGTCAGATATGTAAAGTTCAACATCAGTCCATTCTAATTGAATCAATCAAAAATGTCACATGAACCATGTACGAGAGATGAAAAAAAGTCCATTCTTTCGTATTACATTGAAAATAACTACATCCATCATGGAAAGCAAAAGATATTACAAATCAACAAGAAGACTACAAGACATCAAAGAGTTTAATTTGGCGAATAAAAAACGTTGTTAAAATTAAACTGATAGAAACGACACACAACTCAAAAGTTAACAACTAACTAAAAATGTTAACGTGTAATCGTTGCAAAACGATTGTGGAAGAAATATGGTTATAAAAAAGGAAATAAACTGTATCAACGAATTAATGATTTGAGTACTGATTTCAGTGGTAGATTAATATTAATTTTTCAGTATAATCAACACATTGAAGGTGTTTATGCCGAATAAATTCCAGACATTTTTAATAAATTAAAAGCAAAATCAAAATTTCAGAAAAGCGTTATGCTGTGAGGTGGTATTTCTTATCAAGAATTATTTCCCAAACAATCTGCAATTTTTGTCGATAAATGGTTAGAGATTATCAGGCCGGAATGTGGTGATTGTCATAAACAGATGTATGTTACTGTTGACAGGTATACCAAATTTATTCAAACTGTTGTAGCAGAAAAAGTTGCCAACAAGTAAGATGACTTACGCAATGTCATTTTTCAGGATGACCAAGATTGTAAACAGAAACTGCATGTGACCTTGTATGCCGTCAAACATGTTTTTGTCAATCGAATTGAACCAATAAATTGTGTCCCAAAATTGACAGACGTTTGGCCTATAGAAAACATCTTGGGGATGTTGAAAGATAAATTATGACGACAAGAATACAATAATATTGAACAATTGAAAAAGAATATTAAAAAGGAATGGACCAAAATTAATGTTTCTTTATGTCATACATAAAATACCAGTATGATTAAAACTATTTATCAACCAAGATGGTAATCAAATATACGAACACTGATAGTTTGATTTCTTTTATCTTTAAAATTTGTATTGTTTTTACATTAATAATCAAGTTGATCAGAAAATTTTCAGAAATAGTACACGACAGTGTTGTTCCAGCTTCTCATCTATAATAAAAGCTATACAGCTCAGACTTTGCAATTGTGTAGTGCAAACTATGTCCAACAACCTATCACAGCTTCATAGAGTTTGCTTTTGTTGAACGAAACAACGATAAATTTTACATTTCGTTCCTGAACTTCTTGGACGCACTCTATGTCTCTCTGTTATGTTCTAGAAAATGTTATGAATATTATACGAGGTTTGAAATCGTTCAATAACGTGTTCTGAACGTATTAAACTGAGCTTCCGAGTACTTCATATTTTTTGAAGATCTATTTAAAACCTAAATTTCTCAGTTTCCCTACCCAATCAAACGCGAAAACCTAAAACTGCGTGCACATGCATTGTACAACCAGATGCAACAATATGTAAACATTT